CCGATCAGCTGATCAGCTGATTAGTTGACGTTCGAAGTATTACAATTGTACTTCTTTTCTCTCAATCCTTGAACCTCATTGGTCCGTTACCCGTGTTGATATGAGAAAAACTATGCTGATATGAAATGAAACTATGCTGATAAGAAAGTAAACAGCTGTTAAGTGAAACTTTTCAATTCTAAGAACTGGACTGAAATGGCTACTTTAAAAAACGGTCGTAGGTAAAACATATTTCGAACGCTATTTGATCATGTTTTTTTTTAGATTTGTCTTTTCGTCGTGTCTTCTTTAATTTTACCAATACGACTACCGACTACGAGTTTATCGTTATATTTTATAACCATACGCGTTTGGATTAGATGTTAACAACGTGCTGCAAGGAAATGCTGATAGGTTAGTTCAACCTAGATCCACCAGATCTCAGCACCAAGCAGTAGAGCAAAACGAAAATGTTTACCTTTGAGCTTAGCGACTCAAGAATAAATCTGTATCTCGAATTCGAGCACTATGTATTAGAACATTGATATAAAATCGATTGAGTTGAGGCAACATGTTGGCGAGGCTAAAATTCAACTTGGATTTGAGTGTCCACAGGAAAGTAGGTAAGAAAACTTTAAAAAACAGCTTTGATCTTAAAGTTTGTTTTACTTTGATTACTTTGTTTTTTAATAATAATAGGTTAAATACCTTTTTACGTCCTCAATCCAAGTCGTCTTTTATGATGACTATAGTTTTGGGGCCAACAGCCCCATTGTCAAATTTTCTGTCTTGTTAATTACTGTTGATAGTATTGGTCACCATTGAAGTTCACATATACACATACACTGACACACGAAACATTTATATTTACACGTAACATTGAGAATTTATACTTTTGGCCGAACTTTTGGACTTTGGTTAATAGTAAATAGTAAATAGTTTTTTTATTTACTTTGGTTTTATTTGCAGGTCTCGTAGGTGAAAATCAAGAAAAGCTCTCCACAGTTATTTGCTTATACGAATATTCTATTCAATTAAACAATTACAAGCTGCTATACCCGTGCTTTGCAACGGGAAGAAAGTGTGACCTAGAGAGCTATTTATGTGGTGCTGATGTGTGTTTTAAAATACAGCAACTCTATGATTTAGTTTGAAAATATAAACTGATTTAAAAGCGTAAACCTACTTACTTTCAAACCCCTACTTTCGATGTTGATAGATCCCTAAGAATATGGCAACATACCTTAGCATACTGTAGCAATATCATCAATTAATTGCTTCATATTGATGCTTCATGAATAACATGTTTAACCATAATTCTTCAATTTTAGTCAAGCCTCTTGTTATGTAGCTTACTCTTAAACTAAAAAATGAAACTTTGAGCAATACTTTACAAAACGTATACAACCTCACTTTAAAACCAAACATAACCCTTAAATCTACATAGCTCACAACACAAACATCTTTTTCGAGTAAATAAACAAACACCAGTTCATTGTACTGACCAGCTGTTTCATAAACTAAATTAAATTAAATCATTTAAACATTGAAAGCATGCCAGGCGTAGCCCTTTGGAAATCAGCCTGTGGGGCAGAGCCCTTAGGAAATTCGTCCATATCAATACTTTTCGACAAATCTACACACTCTAAGCTTCATTTTGGTATACCATATGCCTATATTTTCATTTGGTAAATGACCTAAACCGTTTACATAAAATTTGATTGTATCACTTTAATAATATAATAGATGATTTGTGTGGACGACTTACCTTCAATTTCTTATCCACTTAGTGGCCCTCTGCCCTTTAACATTGTCGTCCGTGTGATGAACAACTGAACATCATACCGTGCATCATACTGTGTATAACCTTCCAATCACACAATTAGACCAAATAATTTGAAGCTATACACAATCATCATTAAAACGTAAATTGGAGATATTGGCAATTAATAAATGTATAACTAAATTTAAATCGAGGCCAATATATAATCATTTGTTTTATTCACAAGCGCTTTCGGAAACTAGGTTTCCGTCGTCAGGCTGTACACGATTTCATTACAATCATCGTTGTTTACATTTATGTTGTTTACAAACATGACAATATCGTGTGTTTCAGCACGTGTTTAACTGAATTAAATTAAACAAATAAATGTGTGTTTGTTTGATCTTGCTCACTACAACATTGAAATGTTATAACAAAATTGATAAGCTTGTGCATAATCATAGACTTCGGATACGGAAGTGGACATTCCAATAATGTGAAACTTCTGTGTGCTTCTGTGGCCAGTGTTAGCTCAAATAGAACATGTTTAAATGTTGGTTTAAATGAGTCCCTCAGACTCATATAGAATGCTTTCATTGACAGTTATCAAATTACCAAATGAATATGATAAATTTTGTACGCGTACATGTTTACAATGTTAGGCCTAATGTTTCTGTACACCAAATGAAAATGCCATATTTGGAGAAACATGTAGTGGATTTAAAACACTATATTCGAACTGCAAGACGTGGTATGTAGGCTAATGCTTAGTCTTTAGAAGTTTGCCGAATCAGCATTTATCGGATATTAAATTATATATCCGCTCGATAAATCTCGCACTTCAAACATGATCTCAAATATGTAATGACTCAATTTCTACTCTTGTTATGAGATGTAATATTTCTATTCCCTATTTGAAGTTACCTGAAAACAATGATTTTGCGGAAGAATTGTGGAAGAACCGTTTTAGCGAATTTCCCATATAGGGAATAAGCTATTACCGTAGTACTCATGGTAAGACCTGGACGCGGGACCGATTTTTTTTTCATTTTGAGGTCCCTAGAGGCCAAAAACACCATCCGTTCAAATTCATATATATATATATATATTTATATATTTATATATATATATATATATATATACAGGGTGATTGATATAAGTGTGCCAGCCGTTTTATTCGAAAACCATAAGAGGTATCAAAAAAAGTTAAAAGGTAAGTACCTTGGATTTTTTATTAAAAAAATTATAGTCAAGTCAAAAAAATTATTTTAGCCGCCATTTTTCCAATATGGCCGCCAACTTTGATTTTTCTTATAGAACCCCCTGTATTTCATGATGTATTCTGGTAGAAAATGTAATTTTAAGACGATTTTATTCTTGTATTTTTTTCATAAAACAAACCGTTTCAAAGATAATAATGGTTTAAGTTGTGAAATTTTGAATGGTTTTCGAATAAAACAGCTGGCATTCTTGCTTAGGCCTTTATCGAAACTCTTTCTCATGCAGAAATTTTAAAACTTTAACCATTATTATCTTTGAAACGGTTAGGTTTATAAAAAAATTACAAGAATAAAATCATCTTAAAATTACATTTTCTACCAGAATACATCATAAAATACAGGGTGTTCCATAAGAAAAATCAAATTTGGCGGCCATATTGGAAAAATAGCGTCTAAAATAATTTCTTTGACTTGACTACAATTTTTTAAATAAAAAATCCAAGGCACTTACCATTTAACTTTTTTTGATATCTCTTATAGTTTTCGAATAAAACGGCTGGCACACTTATATCAATCACCCTGTATATCTATCTCTATCTTCTAATATACATATAAAATTCTCGTGTCACAGTGTTTGTCTGCAAACTCCTCCGGAACGACTTCACCGATCGTTATGAAATTTGGTGTGTAAATTCTGTAGGTATGCGAATCGGACGTAAACTATTTCCCGTTTCGAAATTCTTAAAAGGGCTCCGCCCCAGTGGCTCTGGAGTTAACCATGTTAACCTTATGAGAAATGGAATTAATGAATCTTAACAGCTGTTTCAATTAAACAAGTTGGTTCTGTTCTATGATGTTCAATAGCATTAAAGTTACAAGGATTACCAAAAGGGTGCAGCACTATTATTTCTTTTACATTTATGACAACAGCTAATTTGCAACCAAAAGGTGAGTGAGCGTAGCGAACGAACTTCAACATGGAGGCGAGTGAGCGTAGCGAACGAGCTAACCTGAAGGAAAGTGAGCGCAGCGAACGAGCTCCAACCTAAAGGTGAGTGAGCGTAGCGAACGAGCTCCAACCCAAAGGTGAGTGAGCGTAGCGAACGAACTTCAACCAGGACGTGATTGAGCGATGCGAACGAGATCATCTTGAAAATTAAACGTAACGGTACTTTCTTTCCATCGGTCTGTCTTAGGGGAAACCTATAACTTAGGCGATACGAAGTTCGCCGGGTCAGCTAGTATATATATATATATGTGTCCGTTAGCACGATAACTCGAGCAAAAATGATCTTATTTTGATGAAATTTGGTACAAATGTGTAAACCTACGTTTATTCGAACGAGTTCGCGATCCAGCATGATCGGACCATGGGAACGGGGGTTTACGGGGGGTTTTATGGGGTAAAAATAGGTTTTTCCCATTTCTGACCCAAAAAACATAAAATTTAGCAATTTCTTTCCAAACCATTTTGTAGACCTTAAAAAAACAAATAATTTAGTATATTGAAGCGTTATTATGCGCCTAATGGTTACGGAGAAAATTCCAAAAAATTGTAAATTTAAAATTCCCATGTTATTCTTATGGAGAATAAGTTAATTGTTGTAGTTTGCTTGTTTATGAACATATTTTGATCAAATTTGGAAAATGTTTTTGTTTTTATTTTTTACTAACTATTAACGTTTTACAAAAAAAAACAGTTTTACCCTCCCTGATGCAGCAAACCTAAGTACTAGTTAAACTAATTCTATTTAAATAGAGAATAAATGTTATATTTTTAAGTAGACATTTCAGTGTAAATCCAATCAGTCAAATGGAAATTCGCTTAGTCTGCAGGTTTGCTGCGGCGGGGGTATTTAGTTCTCTGATTTTAGAGAACTAAAAATGGCTATTTTCCGGACAGTATGGTGAAAAGAGAACTAGGTCTGGCACACACAATTTACCAAACAGTATTGAAGATGATACCCCTCTTCCTCTCTTTCTTTGACCTTGAGAAAAATTATATCCCTGGGGAAACACAATACATTTGGTTAAAACTTTATTTATTAAACATCCATACAAATAGAAAAACACATAACACGTAAATACATCACATAAATAACAATGCCAAACTTGAATGAGTTTCTTACCCAATAAGAGTTTGTAATTATTAATGGTAACATTGCTTTCAGTGTAGGCTATAACTAGTAACTACATATGTACACAATCTGGTGTAGGTTGCAACAAACTTAAACAATAGAAATTAGTAAAATTTACATAAATTAATCTACTTCCAGCTTCCTGAAGCTCCCCGATAGTGCATTGCCATCCACACTTTGCTTGGAGGTTTTGGTGGATGTGCTTTTGATGTCTTTGGGATCTAGCAGCTTCATGTCGTCAAGAGCCAGCAGCCGTTCTCTCTTGGCCAAAAGTTCATGTTTCCACGCTTCTGTAATTGGGAAACCTTTCAGTTTGTGCTGCAGTTGTAGTATTTGTATAACTAGTCAACACACTTATAGTAGACTTGTCATCCCATTGTCAATTTTGAAGCTCGTTTTTCGTGTATAGTTCATGTACGGTGACACTGGGTGCTAGTGTCGACAAAATTTTGTTTCTATTATTTTAAGGTTAATTTCATCATTTGAGCTTTACTGTTTGGTTATATAACTAGGGGAGGAGTTGTTGTTTTAGATCGTATTATTTGTTTAAACGAGGTTAAATGACTGAAATAACAAGAAACAAATTTTAAACAAAACACGACCACTACAGTGGACCGTACAGAACTAACAATAAAATTGGCCATAAGGATGATAAATCTAGCTTATAATTTGCTGCAATCGAGAGACTTAACAAACCTTTCTTATTTAGTTATAGGAGGGTGTTTCTTCTGAGCTTGTTACTAGAGTACAACAATGATGCTTTGCAGGACATTTCTGTAGATATTTTTTCCACAGTTAACATTAAACTTAATTGTATATTGTATGTTTTAACTTTCTTATTTGATTATCAATAAGAAAAATTTCGATGTTGTTATTTCCATTTTTGTCCAGATTAAAATCTGCTGGTAGGTTAAACAAGATGTACTTGGCTGCTTCAAATCAACTGTTATTGCGTATAAAAACTTCAGTTGTTGTCATAGTTTGCACATTTTACTGATTACTCACAGGCATGACTATTTTAATCAAATTAATGAAACTGGGAAACAGTATAAATCTCATATCTATTTTACTATGTCCTCATAAAAAAAACATTTCTTAAACTATATCTCCACACATCTGAAGAATTTTGGGAAAGTTTGCTTGATGGAAAGGCTAGAACTGAAAAAAAATAATGTAGTTATGTGTTAACATTCATACCAATTCTATAACAGCTTACAACTACTCCAAACCACAAATAATGTTTTGGATAGGAATAATTTAAAATAAAACAGTACCATTGTATAATGCTTTCAAGCTAGCTAATAACATTATTTTACAACAATCTACTATTTAAAAAAATATATAAATATTTCCAGGTAATAAATGTAGGCTATACAGTTTAAACATGTTACCTATCATTTCCTTCATAGGTATGTCACCTCCCATTTCCTTGGGTAGGATCTGAGGGTCGATTTTCTGGTGAAGCTCTTCAATTGAGTTGTGTATCTGAAATAATTAAAATTAAACATAAGTAATAATATATAGTTAACATAAACAAATGTATTTCAAATACAATTTCTAAGGGTTTGTCCTTTAAAAATGCATTCAATCCTAAGATCTCGAATTTTTAATGAGGTTAAGTTTTTCTATTGAGTAATTAAAACCACTGGAAACATTAACTTATGGTCAGAAGCTCACAATGGCGTAGTATATCAAGATAGCATTAATGACACACAGTAAGCTACGTGATGTAGAACTACTAGAATGATAGTTGATTTTTAACAATAATCCACTTTCCATTTATATAAAAAATTATCAAATTTACAAGCCACTATTTGTATCAACATAGCATCATCAACAAAAATATTCTGTACTAATCTTACCATAAACCTGGTACGCATTTTGTTTGAGAATCTGGAGCGGGCGAAATCATACACGTATCTTAAAGCTGTGGGCACGTTTACCAGGTGGATCTCTTTGTGACGCATTGGGTAGGATTGCTGCAACAGGGATAAAATAATATTTTTAAATACATTTATTTTTCAATAGGCTATATTAAAAACAATAACTTTCCAAGTTTAGTATCAAGTTTTAGTCCGGTAATTAAAGGTAAATATATAGTGGAGGTTCAACAAAATTGTTTCAAAAGGGTTTTCAACGGGTTGCATTACTTTTATACCTCCACAGTACCTAATATTAGGGTATTTAAATAAAAATAATAATTGCTAAAAAAAAATGTTAAAAACATTATTGCTAGATATAGTGTGTAGTATATAGTTTTTAATGTTTACAAGGGTGGGGAAACTAAATCTGCAACTTAAACTATGATTTGACCTCATTTGACCCCACAAAATGGCCGACAAACTAGATTCGCGGAGAAAAAACTAAAATAAAACTGTCTTTTAGATATAGGGTGTAGTATATCGAATTCAATGTTTACAAGGGTGGTAAAACAAAAAAATGCAACTTAAAATATGATTGTATAAAATGTAAGGTTATAAGATGGAAATAAAAAAAACGCTCCATAGACTTTTTTTGTGTTGTGTGGAGGTATAAAAGTAATGAAATCCGTTGAAAAACCTTTTGAAACAATTTTGTTGAACCTCCACTGCTCAATGACTGGACTATTTAGCACATTTAAGTTTTTAAGTTTAGTTAAACAAACACAAACTAAACAACAACATTGTGATTTAATTTTATGGCTAAAATTGTTTTTGTTTTTAACTCTGGAACGGCCACATAGAGTGTTTCAATTTTGATGATGTGTATATTCTTGTTTTTATTGCATGTTTTCAACAGTACACTTGTTGGAAGATTTGTTAATACCTTTCGTTCTGAAACACATTTTCTTATTCTTTATATTAACTTGAAAATAAAAAATAAATCAGAGTGTAATCAGGCGATAAAAAGTACAACAGAAAATCTTATATAACAGTGTTGAAAATTACACAATTTCACTATTCAGACTTACGTTATGAGAAAAAAATAGATTTATGGCAGATTCATACAAGACGGTCATTGTATAACGTTTAACCACAAATACAACAAGATTTTGTGCAACGCAAATGAAACAACTTCACTTGAGCAAGGCCGCACTATACTTTGAGAAAGGCGTGTGGCTGTTGTGAACTCCCTAGGTGACCAAAGATATATGATATATGGTACTATGGTATGATATATAGGTGACCAGAGTGTCACATGGGTGACAGAAACCAACCTCAGATCTCCTACATGGGTAAGCCCCATCACTAAATACTTCTACCTAGTCTCCTCCCATTACCTAAGGTTGAGTACGAGAGTCAATCTTCTAAGGAGTTTGTACGTACCTCTCCCCAGCGTATAAGGGTTGTGAACTCCCTGGGTGACTAACATAGGCGGCTTACAACTTACATGCAACTTACATGGGCGGCTGAAACTCCCCTAAGATCTCCTACATTTGTGAACCCCATCACTTACTTCTACCGTACCGTGTCTCCTCCCATTACCTAAGGTAGAGTATGAGAGTCAATCTTCTAAGGAGTTTGTACGTACCTCTCCCCAGCGTATAAGGGTTGTGAACTCCCTGGGTGACCAGAGTGTCACGTGGGCGGCAGAAACTCCCCTTAGATCCCCCACATGGGTGAACCCCATCACTTGACACTCCTCGTCCTCCAACAGGGTCTCGTAGGTAACCATGTGTGCCTTCGCCATCTCCTTATTGTCGTGCTTGTAGGGGTCAAACCTGTCTGCAAGATGAAGCGGAGGTAACAGACAGTTGTAATAGTAGTTTACGCAACGATAGCATAAAGATAGTGTTAACGACACGAGTTTAAAATTTAAGAACTTCTAAGAGTGTCGTTAACACTATTTACGCGAGTTGCGTTGCACCACAATACCTACGACAGTGTTTTAATTACTAACCAAACACTAATTGCACCACTCAACAATTAAATTGGCCTGAACAGCTGATTAGTTGAAGATCGAATCATTACAATTTTACTTCTTCTCTCTCAATCCTTGAACCTCAATGGTCCGTTACCAGTGTAGTTATGAGTAAAACTATGCTGTTATGAAAGTAAACAATGCTATTATGAAAGTAAACAATGCTGTTATGAAAGTAAACAATGCTGTTATGTGACAATTTTCAATTCTAAGAACTAAACTGAAACAACTAATATAATGGTTTAAATACCTTCAGTCACCAGTTCAAATTAGTCGGCTATTGCGACCTAGGTTTCGGCACGAAGTTGTACCATCATCAGGCGGACCAGTTTTGAGTCTTCAGTCCAATGGACGTCGTTGAGTTAAAACAAATAAACAGTTCACGACATACAGCACAAACACACACAAGAACACATATAACGAATAATACCGGTATTTACAGAAGGACGACATTATTGTAAGTTCACCGGCCGCGACGGGTGACATCCAAGCCACAACTCACAAGCCACTGAGTTGTGGCTTGGATGTCACCCGTCGCGGCCGGTGAACTTACAATAATGTCGTCCTTCTGTAAATACCGGTATTATTCGTTATATGTGTTCTTGTGTGTGTTTGTGCTGTATGTCGTGAACTGTTTATTTGTTTTAACTCAACGACGTCCATTGGACTGAAGACTCAAAACTGGTCCGCCTGATGATGGTACAACTTCGTGCCGAAACCTAGGTCGCAATAGCCGACTAATTTGAACTGGTGACTGAAGGTATTTAAACCATTATATTAGTTATTATAACCAGTTCAGGGGCAATCCCACATCTTATGATGTCGAAATTATTAAACTGAAACAGCTACTTTAAAAAACGAATCTAGACTTACGGAGATGGTTGCGTCTTTGAAAATACTGAACTACGTTTCGGATACTTTGCTGAAATTCATCTTCAGGACCAGGGCAAGCTAAAATTCAACTCATGTTTTGTCATTACAATGCGGCCAATCCCAAAGATCAAGATTTGATAGTCTATTTTGACCATGGAATAATACTATCAAGGATCGCATTCAGGTATTTCCATTTGGAATTGCTATATAACACAGCTCTTACCTCATTCTGTCATTTTAACACTTCCTGTTTAACAATGAAAACGTTGAATATTTATGTATACATTTTATAAACGAGTTTTATAAACAATACATGGTAAAATATCGTGATATATTGATTTGCTGTTTTGTTACAATTTAAACACGTTGCACCTTATTCCTAGAATTAATTTTATCATGAGTAAATACTTACTTGCAAATGTCAACACAACTCTTCTTCCATGTCGATCTCTTACTGGAGAGGGAAATACGTATCTAGAAATATTAAAAAAATACTGAGCAGAGTAGTACATAAGAGAACCATTTTTTATTTTGTGTTGAGGTTTGCAAAAATCTATATAGTATTACGTTATTATATTATATAGTAATACAGGAGTATGTTTTATCTATGGTATTACTCAAATATGTAGTAGATTTTTATTGCCGAAAGCAATGAATAAAAACATAAATAATTACGATAGTTATTTTTCGTGAGAGTTTCCTATCAAAATGATTTTTCAATGCACTAACACTAGGTATCAAATGTAAATAATTCTACTGTGGTAAATAAATATGAAGGTAATAATATTAATGTACACTGTAGTGTCAAACATGCTTGTAGTAACTAGATAAACATGTTTCTAAGGTTGTCATTAAATACAGATTGATCTTAACATCATCTACGACGAGTTCCACCAATATATTTATCTGATCGAATAACAATTTCACATTTTCTCTCCTGTGTAAGTTGTCCGTAAATCTAGTAAACAAATAGTATTCCCCCCCCGTTTTAACTGTAGGCCTTATTCAAAACTAACACACCAAAGTGATTTAAGGTAATATTATCGAAGACATGAATAAAAGGAAGCAAACAGTTATCTAGTTTTTTGGACTGAGGCATAAAAAGAGTTGTGAAATTGCTGACCCGTTTTCGATGATTTCATTGACGGCGGGGCTGAGGAAGTCGAGTTTAAGACAGAGGTGGGGCAGCATCTGGCGCATGTAGAGGTACTTCAGCAACATCTGCTGAGCCATCGGAACACTGAACTTCTTGACTCTCAGGAATCTCAGCAGGAAACAGGGGTCTGAAACAGGAGAAATTACATTGATGATAAAAGATGAGATAGTATCATCATACTATCACCCAAACAAATCAATTTTTACCGAACCGATCATTACTACATTCTTCGGTCGTTGTTAATTGTAATGCCGAACAGAGAAGTTTTGGCTCCACATTAAAACGAGAATCGATTAAACAGTATTCACTGTATAGCTATGAAATTGAACAATATCACAAATATGTACCAAGAGTTTCAAGAACATACAACTAAAGAACAAATAGTTGGAATTTCTACACTACAACTCCAAAGAGTAAAGACTGAGATTTATTAGCATTATTTTTTGCTTCATTGATTACAAATATAAACACAAAATAAATTGATTATATGATACCTTTAACCATTTTAACTCTGTAAATCCTTACAGGTTTTCACATATATGTATGCGTGGTAAATTTAAGATAAAAATTTCCGGTAGAGAATATGAAATATATTGACAATGAGACAACATAAAGTCATCAAACTATATTCATCGCAATAAACATAATGATTGACGTCGGTTAAGGTTAACATGATATATACATTCTGTACGCCATTGATAAATCCTTGGGCGTTTTTTTAGCTAAGAACATGAAATGTGATGAAAAGGCATTCCAAGACATGGTCTTGTTTCTTTTAGACCCTATACAGGTAACAGTACCTTTGTCCTTGAATTATTTTTAGAAAATAAATCATCTTATTTAATCTATATTTAATTTCTTCTGTGGGGCCACTCCTTTTCCAAGCTAAAAAGCTCTTAAATTTCTCTATTTTCTTTCACACATTTTATATATTCAGTATAACCATAGACAAATATTTGTCTATGGTATAACTGAGCATAAATTCACACAGAATGCAATGTTCCCAAGTACAGTTGGAATTGTTTAGCTAGAAGCAGTCAAGGTGTGGTGGAATATCTTTGAAGATGAACCTACACATCACGAACAAGCGGGATAAAATCAAACGATAGGCCAAGGAAGCAAGATTCGAGTTTGGTTTATAAAATGCTTAAATGCAGTAGCTTAAAATACTGAATGTTTTCTAATAAATTAGACAATGAAATATACTAAAAATCATTTATTTGATCTTAAATGGGCATTCTTCGTAAGTAATACAACACGGTCCCTAAATGTCTAATTGACAAAATGCCAGTTTGTTTGTTTTGATTTAACCTCAAAATTTGACACATATGAACATACTAGCAGAGCACCCGTCCGCACAATTTGTTTTTCAGGATTAATTTTGCCAACAGTGTCATTTAGAGGCTTCTGATTGACTATAACGAAGGTTTGGTAATTGAAAAATTATTTTTGTTTATAGAATAAAATTATAAATGTCTCAAATTCAATTTATATATATATATTTTTTTTTTAATTAAACTGTCATAACCTAACCTAACCAACCAAACGTGCTGACAATAAAAAAATCTAATGAAGGTTTATTAATCGAAAAAAAATAGTTCTGTTCATAAAATAAAATTATAAATGCCTCAAATCCTATTTTACAATTGTTTTATTCTAAAATTAAACTATCATAACCTAACCAAACTAACCAGACTTGCTTATAATGAAAAATCAAATGAAGGTTTAACCGAAAAAAAAATATGTTCATAAAATAAAACTATAAATGGGTCAAATTCAATTTCGTAATGTTTTAATTATAAAATTAAACCGTCATAACCTAACCAAACCAACCAAACTTGTTGATAATGAAAAAATCCAATACAAAAAAATAGTGCTACGGGTGGGATTCGAACCCGGGTCCTTCGGATCATCAGCCCAGCACTCAATTCACTACACCACCGAGGCCGATGGCATCAATTGTATCGTCGCGGTAATGATGTTCCCTCAACCAATCAGAAGCCTCAAAATAATACTGTAGGCAACACTAATCCTGAAATAAAAATTCAGCCACCCGCCCTTCGTACGGGGTTTTCATATAAGTATAAAATGCTTATTGCAGTTATACTCAAGCTTTGCGTTTGCAATGGGGGGAGGACACAGTTTGATAAAATTTGGTTCATAAATTTACGGTATGATATAGTTTAACACATCTACCATTGCCATAATGTTCTACCACTGCACCTAAACAATAGAAAAGAGTAAATTAGCCTATCAAACAGTCACACAATATCACAAATTACTCATTAAATTAAAAACTCAAACCTAACTGTAAACAATCCTACTTTGACAGTTCTCCTTGTGTATCACAGTTTTTTGTTGCTCCTTAGTTCAAATTAGCTGTTGTAATTTATGCAAAAACTAAATAATAATAGTGCTGCGCCCTGTTGGGAAACCTTATACATTTTTAATCCTATTGCATATTATAGAACCAACTTGTAAAGTTGAAACAGCAGACTAAATTCTTTAATTCCCTTTAAATATGAATACTCATAAGGTTACCATGGGAAACTACAGAGCCACTGTGGTGGAGCCCGAAAGGATTTTTGAGATAAGAATATGCCTAAATGTTAATCGGGAATGTGAGCTATCATCATGCCAAATTTCAGTTTATGCGTGATTGAGCAACACACAAACATACACACAAACTCACAAACTTTCAGATTTATAATATTAGTAAGATGATTGCACTACTGCCAACTAGGTTCATCTTCAAAGATATTCCGACACACCTTAACCGCTTCTAGCTAAAAAAAATCCAACTGTAATTATTTGACAATGCACATTTACCATCTGCTCGGCCGTTGAATCAGATGTTTTGCAACATTTTAGTTAGTATCAGTGGGCATTATATCATAGCATCATACTATGTAATATCAGCTGTTAAAGATCAAAATCCCCTTGTGGAACATTGTTGCTGACAATCTCGACAAATCGGAGCCCGACTTTCATGGTCTATTGAGCACAAATTGTAGGACTTGCTGAGAGACTATGAGGGTAAGCAGTACGTGTAAAAGACCGAAATGTCAGGAGACCTTGCCTTCTCCTAGCAACTAACTACTGTACCAATAGCTAAATGCACCAATTATAGAGCTGTTCGTAAACTATATATTAATAGGCAAGCATGTTTCTTTAAAACCTTTTTTCTCAGCTCGTGTGCATCTCAGAGAAAATCTACGCATACTGTTGGAAAGATATTTTCCTGTAGATGTGCAGAATCCCTTTATGAATTAAAATAGGCCTTAAAATAAGCCCAAAAAATGGGTTTAAAATTTTGGAAAAATTAACATGGATATAATGGTTGCCATGCTGGTGACGAAATAACAACGAAATATAAACAGAAAATCAAAACAAAAGGAGAAATTACAATCACATGTTTTATTTACAGCGTGGGGTTAAAATAGGGAAGCCTGTATTTGACTTACAACTACCGTAGGAATTCCATCCCCCATGTTAAAGTTGTCACCAGGTTTTAAATTAAATTAGTCGTAGTTGGGCCACCAACAGATTGCGCTGATCAAAATGAAAGATTTCTGTTGAATAAACGATCTTTTTACGAAGTCAAACTTATGTAATGACTCATTATAGGAGCTATAGCAACTGTTATGACCAATCAACTTTGTCAGCAGGAAAAATAAGGTAGAAAATATGATTTTAGACATGAATTCTGTGACTGGCTCTCTCAAATACATGTTTTTTTTATTTAAAAAGAAAAATGCAACAGCTGATCCATTGATGGAATGTCTACTTCAGTCTCCTATAGTCAAGTGCACATTACATATTTTTGGTCGAGTTTTCGACCACTGGACGACCACTAGTATGGATAAATAAACTAATAGTTTGAAAAAGGAAATATTGGCAAAACAAAAACGCCAACGTTTACATGAACTGAACAATATTTACCTCAATATTGGCTTCAACTGGTCCATCCACTAGGTAGCCTATTTAGCACACTTGATCTATGGTACTGTACTACCTATAACAGTTATGTAATATTTTATGTAATGAAACCACTCTATTGTGCTAGTGATCGGCAATCAGTTCTCAGTTGCCATGTAGGGAACCTACATCCGCACAAGCCGATGTACTGTTGAATCAATCAAGTCCACTACCTACTACGGGAAATGCGGGAGGTGCGAGCAAGGAAATGGCAGACCTGTTCTTTATTACTGCAGAAGAATCTTTCACTTTCTCTGTGAATACTCGCTGTCATTAAGTTATGTCACTAATTTACTGTGGATGAAAAGAAAAGACATAGAGACTTACGAGAACATAATTGTTTGTGTTTATTATACTCGGAGAAAAATTTACGGATTTAAATGAGGTTTTCATAAGAAATTTATGTTGAAAACAGCATAATTTCTCGAGATAGTTTTTAGTTTTGGCATTTTAACTCGACCCGTCTTCCGCTGTTGAAGTGGATCCATATTTCATAGTAGGGAAAGTGATTTACGTGTCGAAGGCGTAGGTTGATCCCTTTCTTGATGTGCAGAACTGCCCAGATGTGCAACTGCCCTAGTCATCCCTCCATTAAAAATGTGACAGAACGAAGAATATATCTTGAAAATATCTAAAGGGGAATCTAGTTTTTAGGCTAAACTTGTTATTGTCGTTCGCAGTAAACTTATGGCAAACATTTCATACATAGTTAAATTCCAATAGTAAATTCAGAGTTTTACAATTATTTTTGTTTATGGTTTTACGGACCAGCTGTAACCATATTTTTTTTTTCCTACAGTTACCTAACAATGTACATGTTCTCTCACTGATTTGAGAGAGCAAAGTGGCCAATTCGCTCATCAGTGTTAACATTGTCTCACTCTAATTACTTTGTCTCACTCCAGATTTGCAACGAGAAGGCATGAAATAGTGAGCGCGTAACATGCAGGCAACGTCGTATGCGCACGAAATACGATGGCAGCACTGGCTGTAAATCAGCTGGTCAGCTGTTGTACTGTTGTATTTGTCATTTCACATTAAATGTTATATTAAAAGTTCACTTCTGTGAAAAATAAGGTTATGTTTCTTCACCAATTTATTTGTTTTATAGTAACTGTAGGAAAAGTATAATGTGCAACTCGAGTTCAAAGTACAATTGCCTCACTCGAGAAACCATTCCTCACTCGCCTACGGCTCGTGAGTAAGGATTTCTCTCGAGTGAGTCAATTGCTCACTTTTCTCACTAGTTGCACAAATAACTATTGTTAAACAAGAACGTAGTTGTGTGAGCCAGTCACAGAATGTGCTAGTGGCTAAAACTCTATTTTACCTTATTTTTTGTTGTTGGCCAAGTTGCATGGCAATAACAGTAGCTATAGCTCACAATCACAATAAGTCATTCCATTAGTTTGAATTGTTTTAATAAGATTGTGTATTCTACACAAATCAGTAATTTAGATCAGCACATTCAGTCGGTGGCTACAAATTTAACATGGGAATGAAATGTCTAGTTGTATTAATAGTCAAAGGTTTTATCTATACTTTTAAACTTTTGAGTTACATTAATTTAACTTATTCTTCGTTAGAGGTGGGCAACACTATACTATAGTACTTAGAAAACGACCTGCGCGCTAATGCTAAACCAATGCTGGAGGAGGTCGCTTTCTAAGCGGCCGAACTATACAGTATAACTCAGCCATCCTTAAAATTGTCTAAAACAGTAAGGTTTTACTTCTGCAGCAAGGTATTTTTGAAAAAGAATGCTCTCAAACCGAATACAAATGGTGTCTCAAATATTTTAAAAGGTGTCTTTGTTTACTAATCTTTTACTATAATTACCGATCTTATCTTTTTTAACGATAATTACTACTCTTGTCGTTTTCTTGTTACCTCTTTCGGTAAGTCTAAAGGATATACAATATTTTCCTCTTTATCGACGACAACCTTGAATACTGCTCAGCACTTCCACTCACCAGTTCTGCAGTTATGGAGGTCTCTGTTCTTGGATATCCAGTCCTGCAGCTGCCGCAGCGCTTGACCCCGGGCGCTCTCGTCCTCCCGCAGCTCCCGTCGAGCCACTCCCTGGATGTCCGCTCCCAGAGGACACACGTACCCCTTGGGATCCGTCAGCCCCAGCCAACACCCAGACATCAGCACCCGCGTCGTCGTCATCCTGGAACAGACAATGTCGTTACCAAGGAACAGCAAGGGTCCACTAGCAGGTGAATGTTCACGTCAACACATAGTATAATTGTTTAGTCCTTAAATTAAATTGGTCGACAATAATCGAAGATAAGTTTACTAACTAGCACACAGACCGCATTGTATCAGTAGTATTACACGTATAATCACACTAATATAAATACATTGTAGCAGTTGACTATTGATACTTGTATTATACATTAAATTATCACGTTAAAGATGTGACAAGATAATAATAAGAATAACAATGAATTAAGCCGCTGACAATATAAGTTACTGATTCGTATCGGATACGCAGACTTTCGTCGATCATAAACTGAAATGACAACTTATTATAAACTGTAACATTTTTATGTCACTTCAACGAATTAAAGTAACAAAAACAGAGTTTGGACTGTAGCAAGCTCTGTAAGTGGCTTATTCAACTGAGTTTCCTTTTTCTAAAAAAATGTCTGCAATTGGTCCATGTAGAATGTAGATGAACGTCTACCCAACAATGATATCCAATAGTTAATGATGGCGGCAAAGTGACTATAAAGCTCGTGAGCTGACTTAATGCTGGGTATTATGAGACACGGTGTACTCTCTATAGTCAATGTCTCTACTCTCTTAATATGTTTGAAAACTGTACCTAAATGTTATCGGCCTTTCGGTCAATTGTCGTGACACAAAAGAAGGATGACCATATTCAACATCATCAAGTCACTAAAATCGTTTTTCATTCGTATTTGTTTTAGAGTTGAAAAATATTCGCCCAGTTTTGTATAAGTCTGTACTATTGACCTAATATGACTCTCTGGTAATAACCTACATAATTACTTTCCCCCTTTCTCTCTGGCCTTGGTCTGGACGGTGAACTCGGTGTTCGTCAGATCCCTTCCGTTAATCCTTTGCTGACCAAGGTCAAGGTCACTTAGGATGAACTCGAGAAAGAGAGAAAAGAAGGATGAACGGAGCTTCCGCTTGTTATAACCAACATAGTTGTTAACGATTTTGCTAAAGGGTCCTGCGATAGGATACTGTATTACAAATCTTATTTATTTACAGGATAAAGTAGCCAATCTTAGGTAAAATGTTATTCTAATAAATGATCACATAAACAATATTCTCTACACGGAGTATCATAAAACTACATTCCTGATTTAATACGATAATTAACTGTTCTTCTTTGGCCGTAACTGTACTTTACGTAATATTTAAATGGTAGTATTAGTAAACGTTTTACATAATTTTTCATGGTCTGAGTTACATCATCATCTATAATAACTATTACACTGCTTCTTAAAAACCCATTAGTATTAGGGAAAGTGGGAGCTTTTACTCAGATTAATTCTCATTACTTCTCTAATTATGAAGACATCAAACTTAAGCCAACGCTATATAGTTATGGAACAAAATATCACATTTATTCTTTCTTTAGTCCCGAGGACAATTTTTAAGTTCATCAGCCATTTAGTTGAATGAGTTTTTAAACTACAAAAAAAGATTCGGTTTCATCGAAAAAAAAATACTTTGATCGCTTTGCACCTTGCCAACTTCTCTCTAACCAAACCTCCCCCCTCCTCACTTTAAGATGAAACCTGCCGACCCCAACACTGACCCTTAGAGGTCGAGACCTCACCCGTGTCCTTTGCGACCTCTGTTACCTCGGTTGCTGGTCATGTAACCAACCTCAACTCTCTGGAATGCGTCATTAGAGGTATTAGATAATGCTCTATGTTTATGCATCACCTGTAACACATTCAAATGTAGAGGTAGGTGGAGAAGTGCATGTTGAATACAACAATGGTTGTGTCATTTAAAATAAAAATTCAATGGGATTTCAAGAAATAATCTATAAGGTCAATAATATTTTTCTCATTCCGTGAGTTCTTACTGCAGTTACTGTAATATTTTGTTTATCGTGTTAGGTGAGAATAATAAATACTGTGTCCATATACTTAACAGATACGATAGTGATATAAATGAGATATAGTTAAATATTTGTTTATTTCGCTTCAAATATTATTTTAAAAAGGTGAAGTTGATTCAATTTAGGTCTGATGAAAGTTAAGTATGAGCGCAATCACTTTTTGAAAGTATTGTTATTTGATAGTTTCCACAAACCTTTCTGTTTATTTATTTCTGACTTTTTAGTGCAATGAAATTTGTAATCACTGAGCACTTATAATCAGTAAACAGGATATTCGTAGTGCAATCCGTTAACCTTAAAAAATCAAAGCCAATCCCTTAGTGCATATAGCAATAATATATGATTAAGATAGTCATAAAGAAATTATAAAAGACTAATTATTATTCACAATCTTTAAAATGCTGTTGATGGTTAGTTTTAATTGTTGGGTTGAGCTTTGCGTAAGTTTACTACGGCCGCGTTACTAGCACTATTTTAGTAATCAAGCAAATAAACTCCTTAATTCTGTAACGCAATAAAACGTCAGGACATAGCAATCACAATCATTAGGTACCTCACACAATAGGCGACCAAATAGTAGGTATAATTACTTTCAGCAATAACAGTTAGCTTACGACCAGTTAAATAAATACTGTTGGATATAATACTTTCTCCGAAAAGTTTACGTAACAATTGCTGAATCTGCATCTGAATCGCCCTCAGGGAAATGTTTGGTTATCTTCAAATCGAGATTAGCATACGAGAACATGCTTTGTGAACGTGTGACGCCACTACAACATCGGTTCCGGCTTCTTTTCAATAGAGAAGAATCGTGTATTAGTATGGTTTTGAAGTGCAATGATTTCAAACAAAAGAACAGTCATGTCAAATTTGAAGTTGTTGGGTCACTGGTATTTTGTGAAATGATATTACTGCATTTCATCAGTAAAAACTTGTGAATCGTCATCAAGCTAATAGTTTATCTTGTAATTGAAATACTAAAATTTATAGAATAAAACATATTTCATGAGATTATGCTATTTTTGTCTACAGATACTGTGCCAACAAGTAGACATCGTTGCATTTCCACGTTTGTTGCCATGACTATTGAATACCTTAGGACATTTCATCCATATTTATCCGCTGTAGCCAATTTCTTATGCAAATACTGTATAAACTACTCATAGAGCGTGCTACTTTCAAAATTATATTTTCAAGTTGAGTTTTTGGAATAATGACAAATTACCCGGTTTGTAGGTTAAGGATGGGTATTTGCAGACCCATAAAGCAATGAAAAATGTTTCAAATTACTTTAGGTGTTAATGGTGGTAATTAACATAATAGCTACGTCCTGTAATGGGACCCTACGGCCCTTCTAAACTGCTTCTAATCACCCTATAGTTTGGAAAACGCTGGTAGCAAAAGGCAATAAATACTTCTTTAGATTTATACTAAGGACGTATACATCACCATTTTATTAGATATATATTGTTTTATGTAGCTTCAATAAAGAGGACCAAAAGATCAATTGTTTCCCTACTTCAAATTTCCTGGAGAATGTTCCATCATAAATTGCAAGCTACTTTTCCCACTCATCAACCGCAGTTCAAAATCACATAACTGGTTCGGGTTCCCAAGTGAACGTTGGATATAATGGATACCGACCGAAAGTATGTGTAATAATAGAAAAAACCTAATTAATCCGCACTCGTTCGCACTGCAGATAATCCGAGGATATAAGGTCAGAAGTGAAATTGCTCGGGTTTACGGGAAGCGTCAATTACATGACACATTGAACTTTCGTCACTTGCATCACAAGGCAGGACTCTTCCCAGGTTATACAACGACGTAATTGCCTCCTCGAGAGTGAGGCACCTGCTGGAACTAGGTTAGTGTCTTGGCGGGAATCAGGTGCAAAAGCGCGGGGAGGACCCGGCTGGTTTGACGTACAGTAATTATAACGAATAACCAATGAATGACAGGTTACAACTTAATCGGTCTTTTAATTCTTTTTCATCCGGATTGTTGGTTTTTACGCTCTTGTATCGTCATATTTAGATCAGTACAAATATGATTTATTTACTCGTAAATGGTTGCGTCATAATTATGATGAACAAAACGAAACAAACTTGAAACATAACGAGTCTAACATACTGCTACCAGCAATGACCAGCAACTATTGTGCTAGCTTTCATCAAAAACAAATCGGCTACCTACCTTCTGAATGTTTGGCGAGCACTAGAACAGCTACCCTGTAATAATCAGTAAAATGCGTTCCTATATTCAAATAACATAATAGCTTTTTGTTATTTTTTACAAATGTGGGTGCCTAACTTACGGAGCAAAGTGAAAGTAAAACAATTATTTGATAAGAAAATGAAATTAAAATGCAAACACAGTAAGTTATAAGAAATTAAGAAATAAATAAGCTCGGTGGCGGAATAGTTGTAGTGCTCGTTTATGGTAATCAGAGGTCGCCATGCGATTCCGGACAAAGACTTGATAATTGAGTGAAAAATAAATAGTGCTGACTAAATAAACAGCTGTAAAACAACAGTAAAATAAAGTAAAACAGCATATTTTTTAGCTTTGTTACTGGCTAATATAGTAACAAAGCTAAAAAATATGCTGTTTTACTTTATTTTACTTCTACACTAAAATACGTAGGTAACAAAGTGTGACGCTTCCTTTATGAAGTGATAAAATGTAAGGATTTCTACCATTTTACTATAAGGAATATTGCCAATCTAAAGAAGTCATTCAGCAAATTAACCTCGGTTGAAAGTAAAGACCAAATGACCAACACCCGCAAGTACTCCAGAGTTGAATTACTGTAATGTGATTGGAATTACAAGTGAAAGAAGATAGGAGGGAAATATCAAGGACAACTGATGTAAACTGCCCAGTTGAGGGAGTGCAATTTTGTCGAAATCGAAACCAAGATGTCAAAACAAATCTCCTTGAGGTGAAGTCATTTAACATGTTGGTGTTTACTTCTTGTATAAAAAATAGCACTAGCTGTTAGAAAGGGATTTGGTATTCATAGAGCGTTAATTCCTTCTACAGGGCCGCATTATACC